CAGTTTGAACCAAACTAATGATTCATTACTTTTAGCATGCGATGAATTTTAAAATATGAACTTCATTAAATTGTCCATATAAATATGTGTGTTTTCTGGTCTGGTAACAAATACACAAAACATTCTAAAAATAGCCAAGCAGAAGCTTATGAAATCATAGAAATGGGGCCCAGTAATCTGGCTTGAAATGCTGATGGATAAATCTAAATTGTCATTCAATATCCTTCCACGAGAGGGGGGAGGGGGGGCAATCCTTGACCCTTGACCCCACTGACGTCATCTGCTAGATGGTTGAGTGCGAGAGATCTCGCGAGAATCTCTCACTCAACAGTGATGTGAAATGTTAGACCAATAAAGCCGCGTCTTTAGCATCGCTTTGCTATGAATCATGGGTAAGTCCTTTAAGCAAAGTCTCCATTAGAAATGCGCACACGCAGGGAGTGTTCACAAAAGGTGCTCAAAACGCCGGCGAACACTCAGCAGTTTGACAGAACTCTCGGATTGGACCTACGATTAAAAACAAACATAGAAGCAAACAAACAAACAAAAGCCCCGAGCTGTGAGCTTGCAGTTTTCTATCTGCCCACACGAGGATACTGCAGGTCCGGTCCTGAGATCACCTCGGGTGGAAAGCATCACCGGACGCAGAGAACAAAGGAAAAGACCCGAAGGATGACGCTCGTTGTCAACGCGCCTCCGCAGGGGGGCCAAAGTCCCCCCCCCCCGCCGACTGCGGCTCCGCGTGCCTCCGCGAGCGGAGACAGGAGCGAGGAGGCAAGGGAGGAGGAGGAGGAGCGGAGCGCAGGAAGGACCGGGGGAGAGGCCTAAATCCACGGGCGTCCACTTCAGCTCGCTGCCAGGAAAGACAGATGCTGTCTCTTGTCTGGAGACGAAGGGCGCACGCACGCGCCGCGCCGCCGCCGCCAAGCACCAATCAGGAGTCCTTCTCCTCACCGTCTATTTCTGCGTCGACCAATTTAATCCCCCAAAATCGATGCCAAATGAAGCGTAATACATGCCGAGTAAAAACCACATCAAACCGGAAATTAGACGCTCGATCAAAGCGTCCGACTTTCTGTTCTGTCCATTAAGGAGAAGAACGAATGCCGCAGTCAACACGGTCTGTGCGTGTGCGTGTGCGTGTGTGTGCGTGTGCGTCTTGTTTCTTGTTCTATCAAAAAAAATTGAAACAAATCGGGGGAAAGCAGTTTGAATGACAGCCAATAAAAAAAGGTCCCATGTTAGAGGTTCTGGACCTGAGTCTTCATTCATTGTCACTCGTGTAGTTCACTTCCTGCGATTTCGACCAGGACGCGACTTTGCATTCCCGAGAAACGCCGCGTCTCCATGTGAACGCGTACGGCAAAATGACTCCGGCCTTCTCCAGACGCCGTAACTCACCGCGCGGCACGCCGCAGCGCAGAGAATGCACCGGAAATAGAAACGCAGTCAGACATGCGACCTCTGAGCAGCTGCTCACCTGCACCGCCGCCGTTTGGTCTGATGTGTCTCATACCGAGTTGTTGGCGCGGAGAGACACACAAAACGCGCACACACACACGCACGCACGCACACACACACACGTGCACGGCCAGCATACCGGCGTGCGGGTCCCGGTTCGAGCAGAAGACGGTCCGACGCGCCCCGCCGCCGAGCGATCGGGAGGCGTCTGCGGCCGGCTCTCGAACGCCTCGTCCGGCCTCGCCGCTCCCACCGGCGGCTGCGTCCGCTTCGGCCTCCCCGGCTCCCTGCTGCTCGCTCCGGTCTCCGCCGCTCCTTGCCCCCCCGCCATCATGAGTACCCCCCCCCCCCCAGGCAAAACGGCAGCAGCTGCGAGACTGGAAGCCCGGCCCTCTGCGCCGCGGCAGCGACCCTTCAGCCGCCGATCGAGTTTCCCCCTCCGACAACTTGCCAAAGAGCTGAGGGGGAGTGAGGGGGAGTGAGGGGGAGTGAGGGGGGACGGGCTGACATTTAAAAGCAGCGCGGCGTGTCACGCCCATTGTCACGTGCCTTTTACTGGGGAAGGTAAGACAGAGACACCTCGGCGACCTCGCCTGACCCCGACTGAAGACTCTGCATCATTCAAGCCACTTGTGCAAAGAGACAGACCTTCATGATATCTGACAGCAATTGTTTGGTTGCAACCGTGAAACGTTATTCCAAAAACTCCAAAACCACAGAGTTTCAAATCCCGGCCTGCTGGCGGAGCTCCTCGCCGCGCCGGCCGCACTACTTCCTCCTCCAGCGTGACGTAAGGAGGTCTTTTGTGCGCCGCTATAGTGGGCCTGGCAGCGCTGAGATGTTCAGCTACCCAAAATATCTCTCTCCACCTACACTTCCTACAGCGCACGGAAGCGAAGCCGCATGCATGCAGCCTCGGCGTGTCCTCTCAGAGGACGTCGGCAGCCATTTGGAAAAAGAAGCGGTAGAAGAGAAGGCAGGCGGGAGGGAAGCAGTGCATATTTATTGCGTAATAAGTCCTGGAATCCACGGCTCCATCACATGTTTATGTGTCCGTGTGTCCATCCAGGGGAGGATTTCACCTTCTCATTACAGGGAATATCATCTTCTGTTCCCTGTGCATGGACCTGCACCGGCCACGTGGTTCCCTTCCTGCAGCAGCCTGACTTTATCAACGCCTTCGTCCCTCGGGTTCTGAAAAACGAAGCCTTCAAAAGGGCCTTAAGCTTGCATTCGTTCTACTGACCGACAGATTTATTACCCCAGAAATCATTGTGACCATGAGTTCATGTTCTCAATCTCGCATTTTTAGTTTGCTTAAATTCAGCGCGGTGTCGATTTAGTAAACAGCGGTTCATTTGGGGGGGGGCGGGGCTTCATTGTGAATGACAGGTCACTTCCACAGCCGCGCACCAAAATCTCCCTTTCTACCACGTCCACATCTCTCTACTTTGGAGATTTCATCTGAATGCCTCTGTGAATTTGTCCCGGCTGCCTTCATGCGTCTCCTCTAAACTGATTGGCCGGAGGAGAACCTGTGGATCACCTGCAGGCCGTCACACCAGCATCACGTTAACTTCCCGCTCGCGTGGCGCCAGACTGAGATGGATATTATTACGCAGCCCAACCGTAAGTGTCAAATGGCATATAATTCAAGTGTGTGTGTGTGGGGGGGTTGATCTTCATCCAGGAGAAGAACTTGTTATTTGAGGGAGCTATTTAAGATGAATATCCACCTTCAGAACATAATGAGCCTTAATGATTCCTGTGATTACCTCCAGCTTCATCGCTCCTCTGCAGCTGCTGCGGCATTAAGGAGGACGGTGGGTTCACCTGTGAATCCTCACACAGGCTTCGGAGTCATTTGTCCACTCTCGCCCTGACCTTGTGTGAAGGAAATCAACTTCACTGCTAAAGAACCCCATTGTTACAATGACCTTATTGATTCACTGCTTCTTTCTGGAGCTCCTCCTCACGTCGCGGCCGTTACCGGGCTTCTCTAAACGCTTCCAATGGACCACGACCCAAAATCCAAAAGACCACCGACGGAAGAATCTGCTGCCGCTACACGTCTTTGCTCTCACGCTCTTTACCTCCTCGCCTACGTGGGACTCGGTAATTTGAGGTTGTCGAAGTCAAGGTGTAACATGAGCCGGTTATTAATAATAGACGCGGTCCGCCCCCGCCGCTGCTAATTGATGCAACACATTTGCCCTGGTGTCACACAACAACCCGTGATCACAAACAAATCACGCGCACACACACGCACACACACACTCACGCAGCGCCGCACCTCAACTCGTCAGCCTGAAGGAGCTTTACGAGCGCCATGTTTTAAACATGGCAGCGCTGTTGGGGGCTTTGGTGTTGGCCTACACGTCTGGATTACCATGCTGAGGGCTGCTGGGGGGGAGGAGGGGGGTGGGTGAGGAGGGGGGTGGGGGGGAGCCGAGGCTTTAAGCAACACTAATGCTCAGCCGAGATGAGCAGTCTGACAACGAGGCCGCGAGCCTCGTGAATAAACGATGAGCGCACGGGCCGGGGAGGAGGGGGGGGGGGGGACGGGGACGGGGGGGGGTGCACACTCCACGCGCACGCACGCGCACGCAGGCACACGTGGGACAGACTTCATCCACGCTCACCTGGTGTGTGCACGGACGCACACACACGAGCTGGAGGAGTCTGCCAAGCAGAGGAAGCCTCGTGTCAATCAAGTGTCAGGGCAACCGGGGGGGAGGGAGGGGAGGCTGGGGAGGGGGGGCAAGGGGATATCGGGCCATCGGTGAGACACTATAAATAACCCCGCCCACCTTGGGTGTCAGGGTCCCGCACAGACACACACACACACACACACACACATATGTGACAGAGAAAGCAACTAAATAGTGATTATAATCCAGTTCAGAGACCTAAAGTATTATTATTTATAAGTATTATTTTCTTAAATCCATACTGGGGGTCTTACCTGCATTTGAAGATAACAATTTCATTGACAAATTGACATATGAAAACTGTCACTCCGTAGAAAGAACTTTGATGTGGAGGAAATAAATCAAATGTATTATCATCCATCTCCTAAACTATTAGTTATTTCCATGTGTCAGTTATGGGCGTATGACAGGGAGGAGAGTGAGGGGGAGGAGGGGGGAGGACAGCAGAAAGGGGGAGAGGAGAGCTGCTCTGGTTCGGAACACATGCAAACCATTTCTGACCCGAATCAGCTGTCATGGCAACATGCGCTTCACATCGCAGCACCCGTCATCGTCCCCGTCGTCATCGCCGTGATTACCATCATCCTCAGATGCTCCACGGCGACGGGGGGGGGGGACGGGCGGACCGAGGGGAGCGTGCCGCTACGGTGGCTCTCGTCATGTCTGGGGGGGAGGGGGGGGGGAGGCTCATGCGAAACGGAACAAAAGGCGGAGTGGAGACGAGGCCCTGCGGCATCTCGTCCTCGCTGCCGCCGACACGGCGAGGAGGGGAAAAAAAAAAGAAGAAGTGGGGTGGGGTTTAAAACAGAAGGGAAGAGGAAGTCGTACTTTGGGCAACGGCGTTTCGGATGACCGGACTTTCTTGGGAGATATCTGTGAAGAGAGCAAGAGAATTACTGTCTTGTTTCCCCCTCTTCAGAGATATCTCCTGTGGCATATTGCTGTTCTCTCTTACAGGACCGGTGTGGATGTCTGATGGGCTCAGCGGGGCCTGTAAGTGGTTCCTCGGGGACTAAAGCACAACTTTGATTGATGCTTTACGGTCGTACTGTTTCAGATTCGTGCCGCAGCGCTTTGACGTCAACTTTACACATCAAGCTAAAAAAGTGGCGTGTTTCAATCGCCACGGTGGACTAAAAGACGGGACCACCGACAGCGCAGTGGGAGATACTAAGCGGTGCCCCTGAAACAACCTGCGGGCACGTCAGACGAGGTGCAGAGGGATGCTGGTCCTGCGACGTCTATAATCAGTGCATCAAATGTGTCGGTGCGATGTGTTAAGAAGAACCAATGAACAACAACACATCAGAGGAGACACTCAGAAGGTTCAGAGACAAAGGGGGGGGGGGGGGACACGCAATCACAGTCACATGGGGAGACAAGACGGACCAGTTGTGACATTATCTAATGGATTAAAGCTGCTTCGAGCAAGTTAATCAATGTACGTGTAATTTATGGCAGAATGCACATTGAATCTGAATCTGACCTCCGTGCATATTCTTTACTATGATGTATAAAGCTTCACTAGCAGTAAAATGCTGTGCAGGAATTACAGCTGGAACAAAAATGACTGTTTCAGTTGACTGATTAACTTTGTTTGGCTACTTCTTGTTTCGCTTCTCTAAAAAAGCCACTTAAGCCAAAAATTGCAACCAAAAGCTGGAAGCCAAATAGCATCAGAGTAGAAATCTGAACACTCGGGCTACTTGAACAGTGTGAAGTGTCCAGATGGCACCGGAGGACGCTCTCAACGTCCCTCACAAGACACGCGTGACGTGTAGAGCGGCGGTATGCGCCATCGAAGCAGAATGTATGTTTATATATACACACATGGAACCAGAAGGCGAAGATAGAAAAGTGAAAGGAGCACAGGAGGGCGGGGGGGGGGGGGACTGGGGGGGGCAGAAGGATGAAGAGCAACAGTCGCAGAAAGTGCAAGCGAGTTAGACCCCGGTTTTTCGGGCTGGACGCCCTCTGTGCCGTCGCACTCTACCTTCATCGGCGCCAGCTGGATGGGGGTGATGTAGGAGGGGTCCACCATGGGCTTAGGGCGATTGGCGGTGTCCGCCAGCAGGCTCTGCCATTGCTGCGGCAGCCCGGTGAACTTCTGCTCCCGCGGGTCGAAGCCCGTGTGGACGCGGTGCTCAAAGTTTGACGGGGCTGAGATCTCCAGCCGCTTCTTCTTCTTCCCAAACATGCTGGAAAACCCCGGACCACCTGGCGAAAGCACACAAGACAGGTTTCAGATTTGAGTTTTATGCCATAAGCACGGGGAGGAAAAGCGCAGCGGGCCGAGTGCTATTTTGAAGCCTTGAATGCATCTGGTATCTAACTGCGTACGGAAGGTGAGGCAGGACATCAGGTCGAGTGGATGCAGACAAGCGTGTTATTAATATGGTTCGCATCACGTGCACGCTGCCTCTAAAAATACCATGTGACACCAAGGCGCGCATCACGCACCTATGTGTGCACACGAGGAATGCAGCTGATGGGATTTAGAAAAGAATACGTGGCGTAAACATCGGTAAAGAAGCGGAAGCGAAGCGAGAGAAAAGCGGAACACCGAAGCGAGTCGCTGGGTTTGAGCTCCACCACCAGTTTGAAAGCCCACTGCGGCGATTTGGGCGGACGCAGGGAGGAGGCGTCATGGTGCCGTTGGTGGAGCGGAGTGAATGGAGTTCATTGTGCCGTTCCCTTAGGGGGGGCATTGTCCTCAGAGACAAACAAAAGTCATCCAACCCCCCCCCCCCCCCTCCCACCCCTACCCGTCCAGATACCCTCTGCTGCTCCACGCCGAACATTTCCCTTGTTTAGTTACACGTGTGTGCACAAGATAAACAAGTGGACACATTAAAAAGAGCCGCTTGCCGCCGGCCCGGAGAGGCGGACGTGTTTCCTTCCCGGCGGCTGTCATTGCAGGTTTAACGGCGGAGAAAGAGGCAGGTGAACGCGAGCAGGCGGGGGGTTTTATAGGCCCTAACAAAGGAGAGACTGGAGGCAAAGCACGAATCACCTCGGGTGAAAGCGCTGCAGCTACAAAATTGGGAAACGTCATCTCGCCGTGTCGTTTGGAGGCAGAATCCTCAGGCGATAAACCGCCACTCCAGCTTCCAGCTCAGTGGAAAGGTACGAGTGATGGGGAGAAAATCTAATCTAATCTTGCTGGATTAGCCTTCTGCTAACCTGTAGCGCTGCAAGTCACAGAAACAAGGTATGCAGGGGATTTCTCCAGAACGGGGAGGAGCGGATGAACTGCAACGCGTGAGTGAGCGAGCAGTTAGCCATTAGCTCCACATGTAGCATACGTGTTAAATAGCCGGTGATCAAGCTCTACAACAAAACAAACAAAAAGTGTGAATGAAGTAACGTCTTTTGACTTGCTGCTACCTCCTGCAGATGAAACGAAAGCCCCCAAAGACTGAAACTAAATATAACTTCAGACAGATAAAAAGGTAAAAATTGGAATCATGGAAACGTCTCAACCGTTTCCCTTTGCGGCCCCACAGGAGAGCCAGACGGACCTGATCAGTGGCCTCAAGCAGGAAAGATGGAGGGATCGATGGCAGGGAGAGAAGGGGCGGGGGGGTGGATGGGTGGGTGGAGGCGGAAGATGAAAACAGGCAGCCAGAGAAATAAAACTTGCAGAGGAAAGAACAGGAAAGGGGAGCAGCAACGACGTGAAGAGTCACGGAGGGATTAGAGATTATTACACAAAGCAGCACACTGTCGCCCTCGGAAAGATCAAAACCGGATCAAAGACGTGTCACAGAGATAGAAACTATTACGACGAGATGATTAGAGGATTACTGATATCACGGACATTGAGTTTAGCTTTTCTCTTAAAAAGGTACACAGTGAAATTGACTACTTGGTGAATTCCTCGTGACTAGAATCCTTTCTCTTTCCGTCTCACAGAAATGTAGGTCAGACACGCTCGCTTGCTCCTTCTGCTGGTGCTCCACAGGTGTGGACCTCGGACAGCCGACCGAGGCAGAAGCTCCACAATCCTCGGCTTGGATTTCAACCCTTCTCCTCCGTTGGCCGATCCGTCCAACTCAACCTCTCCGAATCGACCCGAAGGCTTCCGACGCCGTTCCCGTTGTCCCGCGCGCCGAACCGCTGGGACGCAGGGACCTTCCGCTGATTAGAAAACGACATTCCCGAAACATCGCGGATGTTCTCCTCCCCGCTGGGGAAAAAGGCGAAGCTCCAATGTTTTGTAAACATCGACTGCAACGTTTGTCATCTGCGGAAACACGCGGTGACTGGGCCGGATCCGATCGCGGCCTCAGCGCTGAATCATCAGCTGTTAAATAAAAACACATCCCGTAATGCAACTTCACCCCGAGAAGCAGGTAACGGACGTGGTAGACTTAGACGTTAACTTGTTGTTAAAAGTGCCATCGTTCGCCCTCTGTAAGCAGCCACAGCGAAGGTGGGGACCTCTGACCCCGACGGTGCTTCTTATGGGAGAAACGAGATTAAAAGAGGCCGGCGGGTCTCCAGCCGTCTGCAGGCCGGCTCCCAACTGCTCGCCGTGTGCGTGCAGAGAGACAGCAGACGGAGATGCACGAACTTAAACCCCCGCAGAGCCTCAAGCAGCTTCAACGACGCCCTGCGGCCTCCGGGGAGCCCCCCACGCCCCCCCCCCCCGGAGGCCGGAGGAACTTGATCCTCCTCTTGACCTGTAATTTACGGCCGAACTTTTGGGCTGAAGAAACCGCGTGCGCGGTGCACACGAGAGCGCTGGTGCACTCGCGCCGTCACTCCGCTGCGAGTGCACGTGCGAGTTCGCGCTACAAGCGGAGTGACGCCGACTACAAACGCCACATGAATAATGCTAGAACAGGTCAAAGCATCTCAAGCGTTACACACAAAGTCCGTGCACACAAAGTCCACGTTTAGAAATGCTGCACACACAAAACCAGAGATGCTAAGGCGTGCATGGACACAAACACACACACACACACATGTGCAAAGCATTTGTAGGAGCACACACACACACACACAGACACACACACTGTACAAACAGACTAATGCATTGACACAAAACATACTTAAAGCGCCTTCTAGCCCCGGGGCAAAGATCCTGACTCCCAGGCTGATTTGTCTTCAAACCATCTGTCGCCATCTGAGCCTCCACAGGCATCTCCCCTTGTGCACACCTCAACACACACACACACACACACACACACACACTCTCTCTCACTGGAAACCTGCCTCACGCCACAGCAAAACCGTGGGACTGGGTTTTTTTTGGTGTAAATGTACCGGGTCTATTTTTGGGTCCTGGTTCATGCAAACGCTCTGCAGCAGCACGACGCCTTCGTGTGTTTTCCAAAAAACGCAATTTTGCATCCTTTGGATTGTAATTTGAAAGGCGTGAGTTGGGTGTCGAGATGCAGAGCACTCGCTCGCACACAAACATGCAAATACATTTCATACATAATTTAAAAAGCAGCGTGAATAGGACACAGGTTCCCTTTGAGTAACGCATTTAGGGAGAGGCGTAGCTCTCTGCTTCGTTTGAAGGAGGAACCCTTAATTTAATGAAAAGGTCAATGAATCACTAAATCGAAACCGTTCGTCCCTGCATGCAGCTCCATACGACTTGAGTGACAGAAGAAAGAGCCTAAACGTGCTCCTCATCAATAGCGCGTTCTGTTGCGTGTGCCGTTAAATTCTGTCCCATTTGCATTCATTGTTGTTCTCTGCAGACCAGCTTGTTCCTTCAGATGATTTAATTGACTCAAAAAGCTGTTTACACAGACATGCATCTCACCTCCCACTCCTCCCCCCCCCTAGATGAATCTGCAGAGTGGTAAACAACTCCAGCTGATGAGGGGCTTTCTCATCCTCCGCAGAGAGTTTACGGCACGCCGGGTTGTAAACTCATTCGCGTCATGTTTAAAGACCTGCGGCGGTCGTGAAGTTAAATCACGGCGTCACTCCGCCGGCGAAAGCGCCTCATCTAAACGCTCATTTCGACTTTGCGCGTTCACTCGTTAAATCGCCGCCTCTCACCTGGCAGAAGAACCAATCACAGCTGCTGTGGGCGGTCCGGGTCAATCGGGTGGTGCACTTTGCTCACAATCCATCATGCACCTTTAATTCGTCTTCAGTCAAAGACGAGGCAGACGATTCCCCCCGGAGGAGCGCTATCGAAACGACAAACCGGGTCACATTTAAGACCCCCGCGCCCCCCGGCGAGCTGCTTCCGCTACCGCCGCTAGCCCGCAGCCGCCACGGGCGGGACTGGCCCGGCCCGCGCGCTCTGATGACTCCCAATGCCAGATGCACGCGGCACAAAAGGAGTGCCTACGCCAGCAGGCCGGCCAGACGGCTTAAGCCGGGACTAGTCCCATTTCCCTTCCATTGTTGGTCTAACCGGGTTCCACCAGCTCCGTCCGACCTCCACTGTGCTCCTTCCCGCTCGTTGGTCTGTCAGCGCAAAAACAACAGAGCGCGTAAGTGTCCTCTGTGTTCCCACGACCCACACACACACACACACACACACACACTAAAAACTGTCCCTGACGCCAGCATGTGCGGATATCAGCCGGGCGCCCCGTCGCTGCCTCTTTCACACGGAGGGACACGGATAGTGTGACGGAGGACATAAGACGGGAGGAAGGAGAAAGAAACAGCCGCTCCAGTCAGCGGCCCGTGACGGAGTCTGGACGCTTGCCCGACGCCGAGGGGACATTCGGCGGTGGCAGCCGGGGACGCGCGCGCACTGTGCCAGAGGGCCGACGCACACACAGAAAGACACACAAGCGGCACCAGGCTGTCACCCAGGGAGGGTGTGCGTTCTAGAGACGACACGTCCGCCTAGTAGAATGAAGCAGTTTAACATAAAACATTTAGAGACGGATGCAGCCAATCACAGTGAGTGCTGTGATGGTTTAGCAGCGTTAGCCGTTATACTCATAGAGGAGATGACACGGCAACACGTTTAACTAGCTGGTTTTTGCTGCTTGTTTTTGGCAGCATCTAGTGGTGAGGTTGCAGATTGCAAACAAATGAACGTTGGTTCACATGCAGGAGAACTTCAATTCATTTTATTTTGTAGAGGCCAAAATCGCAAATAACAAATTAGCCTCAGAGGGCTTTACAGTCTGTACACATACGACGTCCTCTGTCCCGAAACCCTCACATCGGCACAGGAAAAACTCCCCAAAACATGAAAAGGCCCTTCCAAGAGGGAAGACTACGGT